TGGCCCAATAAGGCCCATGAAGAGTCTTATGGCCCAAAATACTATTGCTTAATTGTGACAACCCGAAATTTTTGGATCAAGCAAGGTTTAAATGGTAACCTTATGACAAGGAAAACCTTGGAAACCATTAGAGCATCAATGCTTGTATATGGAAGCATACAGCTTGGAAGTCACATGTAAGGTAACCTCTTGAAAGTAAACAAGTTTAGCAAGGCAAACTAGATGAATGAATTGGAATAAGAATTTTGGATTAAAAGATTATATATTAGTATTAATCTTAGTCTCCCAACTACCTTAGAACATGGAAGGCCATAAGAATAATGACTTAAGCCAACATATATGGATCAATATGTGTAACAAGTTTTGTGGAACCATGATTGAATGCAACCTTGGCTAGTTAACAAGAAAACACACATTAGACACCTTGTATGGAAGTTTTAGCACAATATCCCACTAAGGCCATCACCCTTGAATGCATACTAGGTAAAAACTTAAGCACACTTAAGGAAACTACCCAAGAACCGTGAACACATTAAAGGATTCATGCTTGGCCGTAAACCCCCTTAATGGGCCATCCTTTGGCCGTGAACACCATAAGGGACCCTTACTTGGGCGTAAACTCCTTAAGGAGGCAAGCTTTGGGCGTAAGCTCCATGGTGGACCACCTAGGGGGCGTAAACACTTTAAAGAACCAACATTTGGGGCTTAAACTCCTTAGGAAACAATTACTTAGGCGTAAACACCTTCCTAGGGAGCATCTTTGGCGTAAACACCTTTCTAAGAGCATCTTGGGCATAAACACTTAGATATTTTAAAGTGTTTACAGATTATGAATTGTCTTTTGCCACTTTCCCATGCAAATCTCAGTAAAACATGTTTTAACCATCAATAACAAAGCTTTATCCATCAGTAATCCAAGCAAATATCAAATCATCTCCTTATCCCTTAAGATGAACGTAAACCCCACTCCCTATTTCACAAAACTCATTTTCACTTACTGAGAAGTCCGTGAACGCTCTCAAATAATTCAAGCCAAGTTCCAGGAATCTTATTTCTTCACAAACTCTTCTAAATCCTTGCAAGTATTTCGTGCCTAGCTAGAGATTTTGCACATTACTTTGTTGAAATTCTTCCTAATCACACATAAATTTATTTGTTAACAACCTTAGGGTATCAAAGTCTCCAAGAAATTCATCAAACACTCCAAGTATTCTAGGCTCCAAACTTTGACCTCATCACTTCCACTACACATTTTCTCTACCCAAGGTGAGCTTCATACCCCACTCTTTTCAAGTTTTTCATTTTTTTTGGGGGGGGGGGGAGGGGAATACAAGTCAAATATTGTTTAAATCCTTGGATAATTGCATGCACCCATAAGTTTATATGTTTATGTGTGTTGAAATGTTATTATTTCATGTTAATACTCCATAAACTTGAGATTTTACAAGTCTCATGTAGTTAGAACTAAGTTATTTTTGAATAGATCTACATATTTTGGTATTATGTTAAAAATAAAATAAAGTTACCAGGTAAGAATATGATGAGTTGGTAAACTTGTGGTTAAAAATACTTTTACCACTAAAACTTGTGCAAATATTGAAACATAATAGATTTCTTGGATTTATAAGAGGTTTTGGTGGAACTAGTGACAATATTTTAGTCACAACAAAAATAGAATATTTTGTTTACAAAGATCTCAACAAAATTTTGGGTATGTCAAAACACCCTACAAAACTTGGTTATCTTTCTGAAAATAAATGTTGCTAGTAAAACAATCATGTTATGTTGATACCATTTCAAGGGTTTTAAACTTAGAACATTATGTCATATTCATAACCTATTGCAAGTTGATAAACTATTAGTGATTATTTATAGTTATCAATATAAATAATTTTATCAAGTCGATATACAAAACAGAGTTTTTATGACAGATATATTTGCGTGTCATAAACTGTCCATCATAAAACGTTCAGAAATACAAGTGATAAGTTGTATGTCATAAAGCTGTAAACGCATGTCATAAAGCTGCAGTCATGACTTTACACAAGGAAAACATTATTTGCATTATTTAATAATGGGAGTCAAAACTCGCGTAAATTTCGTTAAGGCTCTTGTGAGATTTGTTTTGTCTTCACCGTACCTACCTAGTGTACATTGTAAGTCATATAGTTATAACCAGAGTCTCCTGGAGGGGGAGCGAAATAATTGTGTATAGATCTATACGGGGTTGACACCCCACACCTGTGCTGTTCGCTACAGCTAGACATGCCAGTCTAAGGTGATAGATATCTTTCATAGTAGCTGACGCCTGAAGAACGTCAGGACAGGCGTTCTCGTCATATTAGTATGGTTATAACGACTCACATAGAGTAGGGTCCTATTAACATTGGAATTTACAAAGAATATACACTCCATTTGTTTTATAAGATACAAAACTATGTTTCGTATATTTTGTAAACTGATTTCACAACTTCGGTCTTAGGGTTTTAAGACCACAACATCTTTTATATACAGAAAATATAGGATATTCTGGGAACACCCTCTTTTCAGAAACAACAATGGAAAACTAAAGAACATGCATGCAATTATACACGATTTTGGAATGAGACTCACAAACTACTTTTTATAAGAAAATATTGGATTTTCTGGAGTTTTACAACTTACTATGAACAAAGATATTACAAAGTTTTCTTACAAAAAAATGCTTATGAAATCACCAACTGTTTAGTTGACGCTTTTCAAAACGAATTGTATTCTCAGGGATCTAGTAGACAAGTATTCACCACGTTCGAGGCCTAGCGTCGCTGCATTATGGTATTTCTACTTTTGTTATTCGTGTTCAACTTTTGATTAAAACAAGTGTTGTAAACAATGTAAACTTGATATTAATGTATGAATGTTTGTGTTGCTATGTTTCATTTATATTCAATTGTTATGATACTGTACAATGACGTCATCCGCCCCCGGACGTTTCCGCCGTTCCGGTTCGGGGGTGTGACATTAATGAATGTGGGTCCAATTAGGGCCCAAATAAGGGTTTTTGGCCCAAAAGAACCAAGTTGATGGGTTACTGGCCCATTAGGCCCAATAAGAGAATTACTGGTCCAATAAGAGGTTTGAACCGGGAAGTTAGAGTTTCAAGCTCAAGGTTGGGTGAATACAGCGTAATGAATTAGGTTTAGAGCTTGCACATATGAGTTTTGATTTGAATTGTCATTTTTGAATGAATAACATGTATAACCTCACACTTAGGGTTACAAGATATATCAAAGGTTAATTACACATGGACAAAATTTCGTAGCCTTAAAATACTAGTTGTGACAATCTATGTGCAAGTTCCAAATATATTTTACAACTCTTTGGATGAAATTGGATTAAATAGTTTGTCTAATAATCAATGTGTTAAATTATTGATGTGCTTGTTCATTTTGGGTTCAAATTTTTTTTAGAGTGAATAATCAACAGTTTTGTATTTAAATCTTGTTTTCTCTATTTTTTATTATTGTTTTTACTTTATTATCAATTACAAAAATCTCATTGTATATGTTCTGGGAACCAAAATCTCATTGTCTTTGCATTGTCTATTTCTTCATTGGACCTTTATCAGCCCTAATTTCTTCATTTGTTTTTGATATTTGATTGTTCTAAATTTGTCTTTGATGAAAAGGGACATTCTATCAGAATTTGCATGAAAAGGGTTAAGTAAGGGATTTTTTTTCATATCAGAATGCAAACACATGTTCATTCTATGAGAATATAAATATTACATAAAACATGTGTTGCTAGTAATTCTGACAGAATACATTTATACATGCTTTAGAATGTTTATACATATAGAAGAAAAGACTATGATTTAAGTGCATTATGCAATGTATTCTGTCAAAATTTATTTATATAAACGCATTCTGTTAGAATTTCTTTGAAAATGTTTGTTAACAACAAATATATTTGCTTAACTGGTAATACTAACGAGTAATGAATCTTATTCTTTCAGAATGACATGGAGAAGGAATTCAATATTGATCATACTAGATGAAGATATCGAGTTCAACAACAAGTATATATGCGAAGAATTACATTCTTACGATAATACATCACATTTCCGTAAGAATAGTTTGAATCAACTGGATTATCTGGACTATTGAAGAACAAACGTGTATTTTAGCAAAATGTGTTCTGTCATAACGTATAAAGCGTTTCTTAAGAATAATATTCTTTCAGAATTAATTAGTGTTTTTCTTAGATTTTAATGTTTTTTTTTCTTTTTTAACCATTCTTAGTTTTAATCTTTAAGAATAATGTAATTCTTAAACCGTTATTAGTCATATTTTTTTTAGAATGAATGTAATAATTGTTTATAGTCTTATTCTTTATGAATTAATGTTATTCTTGATAATATGTGGTATAATTCTTTAAGAATATTAAATATAAAAAATATCTTGAATGAAACCATATCCCACAAGAACAAAATCGAAAATATATTTCATAGTTTATGGTTAACGTTGTCATTCTGACGGAATAAAATAGGTTATTATTAAAATATATATTAAAATTAAATTTGAATTAATTTAAAAAATCCAGATTTTTAAAAATAAGTGAATTAATTATCCCTTAAAATCTGAAAATTTCCTTTTTTTAATATAGGTTAATTAACCAAAATACACTTATGCTGAAATTTGAGTGATTATATGGTGCATGTTACCCTATTGTACTATCATAGACTCTCAGATCATAAATTGTGATTCTATTCCATCTGGTGGTCCAGATTTGTGATTACGGGCACACAATAGTTAGTGAAAACAAAATAACCTACGCCTATATATATATATATATATATATATATATATATATATATATATATATATATATATATATATATATATATATATATAAGATTGGCAGAAGCTAAAAATGTTCCTGTTGATAAGATGGGTTGGGTGGTTTTGGAACTCAAATTGAAGTAAAAAATGTGTTGGATTCTGTGAAGATTGATGTTATAAATGTCATCCAACAAAGAGAGTTATCTGAGAGATGGTGTTTTTGCGTTGTCTGATTCAATTCGTGAAGAATTCTCCATCACAAATACAAAAGATGTAGGTGATTCAATTCGTGAAGAATTCTCCATCACAAATACAAAAGATGTAGGTTTGGTCGTGTTTAGAATTCCATAAAATGTAGCAAATTAACATAGCAAGAAACCACCAAATAGGATTTTCATACGGTACTAACGAGTCTGTTTCTTAATAGCAAGGGTTTTATTGGGCGAAAGGTTCTCCAGCAACGCGTAGGAGGGATATGAGGGTTCATTGTGTGCCTGGTGGAAAGACTTCCACCGTTTGTAGTGGGGCAAGCCTGCAAGGGTTGTATCTGGTGTGTGGTGGTGCAAGGTTGTCTACGATGGTTATTTATATAACCAAGAAGAAGAACAACAAATTATCCCATTTGTCTATTTTTAGTTATTCAACTTATTTTTATATACTTTTAGGTAATGAACTGTTCAAAATTGTCTCATTTTAGTCTCTTCAACCGGCTGTAACCCTTAACATGCTCACATGACATTTTCAAGGGAAATTTTTAAATTGACCAACAAACTATTTTATTTGTACATTTTTAATCACTCAAAATTTTGGATTATTACTGATTTTAGGTGTGAGACCCGTATATTACACGAGTTTATTAAAAATAAATATTTAATATCAATATTTAATTTATAAAATAACACTTTTACATAACATAATGTAATCTTTTGGAACATTTATAAAAGAAATCAAATATTCTTTAGAACATTTATGAGACTTTATTATCAAATTAATCAAGGTTGTAGAACTCGTTACTCGGTACCTGTTCGGTCGACTACCGAGTAGCGAGTACTCGGGAGTACCCGGGAGTACTCGGGAGTACCCGGGAGTACTCGGGGAGTACTCGGATTCGGTAATTCATGTAGAAATATTTTTAGGGAAATTATATATGTCAAAATCATAAGTTGATTGAAATATATAACAAAATTAGATATATGTGATTACACAAAAACTGAAAAACGCATAATGGTCTTACTTTGTGAGTAATTACTGAAAATTTAAGATATATATATATATATATATATATATATATATATATATATATATATATAGTAATAATCACATGTGTGTGTTGAATAATAAATCATTAAGTATATTATACATATTAATCACCGAGTTGATCGATTTTTACAATACTGTCCAGTTCAGTAAGGAGTCGATCGGGGAGTACTCGGGATTCTGTAACTCGTCTCGGTAAGGGGCCGAGTAGCGAGTACTCGGAGGAGTAATCGGCCAACTCGGCGAGTATTACAACACTGAAATTAATATAATGATTCTCTTTCCTTATAGAACTCGTTAGAATTTTGTGGAATTTTATTTTTAAAAAATGGAAATTCTCAAAAAATGACAAGTGGAAAATAATAATCTAAAACTCCCACAGAATTACATGTGGCAAAACTCTTAAGAATTTGACAAGTGACAAAACTCTTAAGAATTTGACAAGTGGCAAAAAAACCTTCATTTATTAGAGGGGATTTTAGGAAACAAACTATTCAAATTGGTTTCAAGCAATTTGTAAATAAATTTATGTCTTACCAAAAGTAGTTTTTCTAATCAAAAAGTATATTTTCATATTCAAATTTCATACTCATATATTCGGTTTTTGATTCCTAATTGCAAACAGTTTCCTGAAATTTCAAGAAGAAGCCAAAAACTTTGAGAAAATATTTTATTTTTTTATTAAAAATCAACAAAATGTTAAAAGGAACATAGCAAATGGAAAGTAAATACAATACAAGAGCATAAATGTGATATTCGTTGTTGATAAGTTGGTGGTACTATATTTCGAAAGGGAGGTGATTTTGTATCCGTCGACTGATTTTAACAGTAAATGGACAATTATTCCCCCATTTAAAGTTAGAGATATCAAAGAGAGGGAGAAAGATCTGACGTTTCCAAACCACCGCGACGCACACGACGATACATTCTTCAGCCGACAATCCTTCTTCCTTTTTTGGCGTTGCAATATCCCATGCTTCTAAAAGACCACGGCTACATATCCCTTGTTAGGCTATCCGGAGTGGGGGATCAACTCACGCATGTACGCAAACGTTGCAGCACAAGGGACGCGTGAACACCGTCCCAAGGACCGGTGGCTTGTGTGTGGAGTGGGTGCCAAGACGGGCCAAGACGACGAATAGGAAGCAAGCAGCAGCATCAACGGTCCAATATTGACCGTTTTCCCTTGTATCCGTTGTAATAAAAAAAATGGCCACACTCGTTTTTCAGTAAACGGGTCCAGAAGGAAACTAGATTTAGAAAACAGGTATTGGGGACATAAGTACGTCAAGCGAATCACCCACTTTCTTTTTTATTGAAGTTACAATTATGGTCCCTGTTTCTTTATATCTCATTATACCATTTTACTTATCTTTAAACTAAATTAAACCCTCATATATATATATATATATATATATATATATATATATATATATATATATATATATATATATATATTAATGAAATGTGGTTCTATTTTTCTATGTTTTTAAAATATTTATTTATGTTATAAGTTATGTTTTTTTTAATTAATTTAATGTAAAAAAAAAGGAATATTGTGGAGTGGTAACTATTTCCAATGTCTAGTGGGTTGGTGGTGGAGCTCAGTTGGTAGCGCTTTTCCGGTAGCTTGGGTGTGACCACTCCCCATAGCCTTACCACCACCACCCGCAACCTCTAAATACAAACCCACCATTATAACTCACAAAAATACTAGTTCCAAATCCACAAATTTGATTACTCCTCTGACCCATACCCATACTAGTTCTAAATCCACAAATTTGATTACTCCTCCGACCCATATAAACCTCAATCTTCAACACGTTCGATTTTCAACAAGATTATCAAACTCCGATTTCTTCAAATTAAAGCAAGGTTGAACATTGGTTCTAAGAAAGTGTTAATCCTTGCTTCCTTATTATATTCCTCTTCTTTCTTGATATGGATTTACACTTTATGCATTTGATTTCGTAATTTTTTCTTGAATTCGATTTCAGTAGTGTTCAATTTCAGGGTTATTTTTGGTATTTAGAAATAAGGAATGTGTCTGTTGGTGTTACAGACCATTGCTCACTAGTACTCAGTGAAGAGTGGAGAGATAGTGGACGAGGTTGTGGGTGATAAGAAAGATGAACTTAATGTTTGTATATGCATAATGTATTAAGTATGATTATCAGGAACTTATTTGTCTCTTGTTGTAAAAGCTTAGATCTTGAAAATTGTATGTGTAACCATGTTTATGACATTAGTTTTGAACTTTTGATGTATATGCATCGGTCAGAGTTGTTGTGTTCGTGGTTTCTACTATCATTAGCATTTATAAGTTTCTTAAGAATAGGGAGTATAAGTTTATGATAAATCAACATCTAGTAGGGTTGTTTGGTCATGCATCGTTTGCACTTTCCAAACATGGGAGACTGGGATTTTCTCCCCTTAATATCTAGGAATTAAAGTTAAGGGTATGATCGTAAACACATTTTTTTTTCTGTGGATGGATAAAAACCTTCTGTGGATAAATCATTGTCCATTTCGAAAGATGGTCATTTCTAAAATCAGTAGATAGAGTTTTTGAAATGTGATTGATGCAAATGAGAAAAAATACACATTATATATTTATTGAAATACCAAATATCCAAAAATTAGGAGGATAATTAATTTTAATCGTTATTTTTGCAATTGCCCAAAAATTAGATCATTTCCTTATATTTTCCAAATCATGAGACCAGTTTTGTAAATATCCCTATTTTAAGGGTCAGGAGGTGATAGTGTGAAGAAGTGGGATGACTAATGAAACTATAAAACTTGAGTATATAAAGGATTTTAATTACTTCCTTATTTTTTTTCATTACCTCGTTAATCGATCTGAAGGACTGGGAGAACAGAGTCCACGGTAGCTACCTACTCAAATCGATCCAAGTTGAAAGAACAAATTAAGGATAACTACTATTGAAATTGAAGTATAAACTTGCAAAGTAAAGAGATAGAAAGGGTTTCTGCTAAAGTTTGGTGTTGCTCGGAGTCGGACTTTGAGGTACGTTCCTCAAACTGATAAATTGATGGATTATAAGTTACCAAGAAAGAAATGGAAGTGTTAACGAAGTTTTATATAATTTATTGAGTAAATATTATCAAATAGTTAAAATTTGTCGATCCGGAATGTGAAAAACGTATTTTGACCTAATTTAGTCAAAGTTGTGAAGTTTTTGAATTAGTGTAGCTAGATGATCAAATTAAACAATCTGTGAAGTTAATATATAGTTGTGTATGTTATAAACGAATGGAGTTTGGAGGGAAACGAGTCTAATGATGTGTGTGTTGTTATACATAAAGAAAGTGAAACAGGGGGTTGGTCCGTTGTGCGATGCTGTATCTTTGTTGACCAAATCCAAGTATGCTTGCCACAATTTGAATTTGTGTATTGCTACGTTTAAGCACCAAATACTTAGGAAACTCATTATAATTGGATCAAAGATACTAGTCATTTACTGATTACCAACTGTGGTGTTTCAAATGGAGTCTGGTTAGTGATGAAAATACTCGTTTTGGTGTAACATAGGCAGAGGATCTATCGTTGGGACGTTTTGGTAATTTCAAGTTAACTTTCTAAATAAGATACAAGTTATAGGTGTTGCCGGGAAAGCACAAATTCTTAATATAAGCTTCGTGAAACACATATATTTGGGTTTTATGTTTATACGATGATTGTAAAAATTATAATATAGTGATTTAGTGATGTCATCTTTGAAGGCTATATAAGTATTTTTATAAGCATAATATGTATTTTTTATGTTTTTTAGAAGTATAATAATATTTTTTTTAAAAGTATAAATATGTATTTTTAGGTTTGTTAGAAGTATAATTATATTTTTATAAATATGTATTTTTACGTTTTTAGAAGTATAACTACAATTTTTTCATATAAACACGTTTTTGATTGATATACTTCTACATATGTATCTATATTTCTAAAATATAATTAATATTTCTAAAAAATATATTTATATTTCTAAAAAAATGTAAAAATACGTATTTATACTTCTAAAAACATATTTATACGATCTTTTGTTAAAAAATTTCTCATGTATAAGTATGTTTTTTCTACATGAATATGTATAATATGAAATCATCTTAAGGTAAAAACATAAAAGATTTGTAAACTTAAGGTTTTTCTTTTTTGTAAATTTGAGTTCATGGTAACAGGGAAACTCTTATTACAGCTAACAAAGACAAAAATGAAAGACTTGGCAAACTTTGGGTATAAGCGAACAAGAAATGATCACAAGGATAAAACCAACAAAATTTGCCAAACTTAAGGACTTTCATGTCAAAAGCCTTTCTGTATTGTATTCGGAGTAAATTGTGAAATTTTAGGGCACAAGTTATTTGACAAATAGCATAACTTATGAAATAAATTTGGGGTGAGAATGTCCATCGTAAATGGGATGGAGCATTACAGAATAATGAAAAAAAAACCCTGTTTGTTTGGCACAAAGGAACGAATGGAGCATTATCTCGTGGAATGCAATTCCTTCTCGCATGATCTTCATTGATGGTGGAGGGGTGTTCTTTTTTTCATTCTTTTAGGGAATGGAATGATATATTTTAATTATAAATTACTTTTATTCATATAATATTCAATAATACTAATCTTTCTTTTTAATTTTTAATATGTTAATTAAACTTTTTTTTTTGTATTTATATTTTTATAATTATATTTTATGATTACATGCTAGTTTTGAGTTTGGAAAATATATTGTAAGTGATATATATATATATATATATATATATATATATATATATATATATATATATATATATATATATATATATATATAGTGGCAGACGCAGACTGTTTTAGTAGGGGTGTCCCTCGTACTTCAAGCGGGTGCACCTAATAGAAAAAACCAAAAAAAAAAAAAATTTACCCTGCCTGCCGGAAATTGAGCAGTGGCCCGGGACCCCAAATGCCCCATTAAGGTCCGCCACTGTATATATATATACTATTTGAAATACACATAGAACATAAGTTAAACGAAATAATATATGCTTATATGTATTTTATCTAAGGATATACCTTTATTTGATTATATATACAATAACATTTTAGATCAATTTAATCTTATTTAGTTTTTAATCTAATGCATGAGAAAAAACATGTTTGAATAACTCATCATTCAATTCTTTCAACCAACCTAATATGACTATGAAATGTAATGATCGATTCTATTGCCTTGTTCATTCCATTACTTCGAGGTTCCACTTCCATCATAGCAAATAAAATTACTTTTTCATTATTTTCACTCTGTGGTTAACTGATCTAGAGAATTGAGAGAAAAGACTCAAGATGTGGAACAAATCCTATGAAAATTGAATTATGAGCTTGCAAAGTAAAGAGTTGAGAAAGGGAGTTTGCTAAAGTTAGGTTTTGCTGTGAAATTTCCTCCACTTATTTTAAGAAAAATCTCAATGTAGAATATAGAGTAAAACATTAGTTAGTATATGTGATTGTGGAAAAACTAACTCACATTACCTAAGTCACTCAGTTCATGCCTATCCTTAGAATTGGAACTTGTATTATACTTTCAAAGGAGTTTTTATGACCAAAAACTGAAAACGAAAATGTAAGGACTAGTTATGAGATATTGTATATGGTAACCTGTGCAATTATGAGTTGTGACGATTTTTTCCTACATGATAATAGGTTTTATTGGAAACTCACATCTCTCTGTATGAAGGTCTTTTCATTGAGGTGCTCAAACCACTCTATCCCAAAAAATTAACACATCGATGGCATCTTCTCCTTCTGCTCCAGCCTTTTCTTCTCAGTCATGGAAGTACGATATTTCTCTTAGCTTTAGAGGAGAAGATACCCGAAATACTTTTGTGGGTCATCTTTACCCTGCTCTTGAACAAGAAGGTATCTACACTTACAAGGATGACGAAACACTTCCCCGAGGCGAAACCATCCGCCCATCTCTTATGAAGGCTATTGAAGAATCACAAATAGCCGTCATCGTATTTTCAAAAAACTATGGCGATTCGTCATGGTGTCTGGATGAACTTGCACATATTATGAAAAGCAGGGATACGAGAGGCCAAATCGTTATGCCTATATTTTATGACGTGGATCCATTTGAATTGCGAAAACCAAAAAGGAAATATGGAGAAGCGTTTGCTAAACACGAGTTGGAGAACAAAACCAAGGTTGAATCTTGGAGAAAAGCACTTGTGGATGCAAGTAACATTTCTGGATGGGAACCCAAGCACATTGCCAACGGGTAATTTCTTCTGTGTTTTTGTACCTTTTACACTTAAGATATGTGTGCTCTACAATGAATTTGTACTTGCACATTATAAGCTTTTTATACAAATGCTTTAAGTATTCTTGATGAAGTTGATGACCTTTATAAACATTGAGGCTTTGACCAGATCACTTGATCATTGCTGAATATAAACATGTACAAGATTATGAGATACTTTCAGTAGTAGATGTTAGTGGGAAAGTAAAAAGTATCCCGGGTCATAGAATTATGGATAAGCTGAAATTAAGTTATAATGTAATTTATTATGTTCTAGTTCTAATTTTGTACTTGACACGCTGCTTAAACCAACAATACCAAATCTATGTTGCTTTAAACTATTCCATCTTTCCCAAGAAAATTGTTACAAACTACTTGTGATCTTTTGTGAGTGTGATCATATGTTAATTATGCTTGTATATCCAATTTGTAGGCATGAAGCAAAAGCCATCAAACAAATTGTATTAGAAATTTCACAGAAGTTACAGCCAGTAACATCAAGTTTAAATGAGAACCTAATAGGAATGGCGGCTCGCTTGCAAGGTTTGAAATTGGAGTTAGAAATTGGGTTAGATGATGTTCGGATGATTGGAATATGGGGGGTTGGGGGTGGTGGTAAGACTACCCTAGCATCCTTAATTTATGATGAAATTTGTAGCAAGTTTGATGGTTGTTGCTTTGTTGAAAATATTCGAGAGGAATCAGGCAGATATGGTTTGGGAAAATTAAAAGAAAAAATTCTTTCAGAAATGGAAGTAAACAGAGCTGGAGGAGGAAGAGTCTTGATAAATAATAGGTTTCGCCATAGGAAGGTCTTGATTGTCCTAGATGATGTCGATCACCTTGACCAACTAAAAGCGTTGGCTGGATCACATGATTGGTTTGGTGAAGGAAGCCGAATAATAATCACAACCCGAGATAAGCATTTATTAGCAGCACACAAAGTAAATGTAATACACAATATTCGCTTGTTAAACAATGATGAAGCTATTAAACTCTTTTGCAAGCATGCACCCCGGGATAAGAGAGCTGTGGAAGATTATGAGCATCTTTCAAAAGAGGTAGTCTCTTATGCTGGTGGGCTTCCATTGGCACTTACAGTTCTGGGGTCTTTTCTGTGTGATAAAGACATTAATGAGTGGAAGAGTGCATTAGCCAGATTGAAAGAGATCCCAGCAACTGACATTGTGGAAAAGCTAAGAATCAGCTTTGATGGACTTACAAAGATTGAGAAAGAGTTGTTCCTTGATATTGCATGTTTCTTTAGGTGTTGGAACAAAGGTGATGCAATGAAGATCCTTGATGAATGTGGTTTTCATCCTGTTATAGGAGTAAAGGTGTTGATACAAAAGGCTCTCGTAACTATTTCAGAAGATGGAAAGTTTGATATGCATGATCTGGTGCAAGAAATGGGACACCACATTGTTAGAGGGGAACATCCTAACAACCCTGAAAAACATAGTAGAATTTGGAAGGAAGAAGATGTTCTGAAAATATGTGCTATGGATGCAAACACGGTGATGGTTAAGCTAGCTTTGGTTGATATATATATATATATATATATATATATATATATATATATATATATAATTATTTAATTTACTAAAATCCTATTGGTGCATTTTAGCACACAATATATGTAAGAAACAAAATAACCTAGCCCTATATATATATATATATATATATATATATATATATATATATATATATAGGGCTAGGTTATTTTGTTTCTTACATTTATTGTGTGCTAAAATGCACCAATAGGATTTTAGTAAATTAAATAATTATTTAATTAAATAAATATAGATATTAAATGATTTCCATAATTATATGTATATTAAATGATATTCATAATTATAATTATCTTTTTATGGAAACTAATTAAATCTGTCAGCAATAACATTCTTTCAGAATGAATTCGCATCTAGGTTTTTATATATGAGTTCGTATTTTGTTTTAAGACTCACTCACTTAAAATACAATAAAGTTGAATGGAATATGAAGAACGAGAGTGTATTCTACTAGAATACACCTTCATTCTGCTGGAATACACTCTCATTCTTCTAGATATGAATTCATTCTAAAAGAATATTATTGTTAACATTAATGACGAATTTAATTAGTTTCCATAAAAATGAGTTATAAGTATGGATAGCATTTAATATACATATAATTAATACTAAATTCCTATTGGTGCATAATAGCACACAATAGATGTGAGAAACATTTGAACCTACCTCTCTCTCTCTCTCTCTATATATATATATATATATATATATATATATATATATATATATATATATATATATATATTACTCAAACACTAACACCGTTTTGTTCCTCTATGACAGGAACTTGACATGATTGAAGCAATAAGATATGAATACAATAAGGATTGTCTAGTACAACATCTTCCTCCAATTGTTGCAAACACGAATAACCTTAGGTGGATTCAATGGGAAGGTGATTTTGCAAGTCATCTGCTTAGTAACTTTCCACAAAGGACGCTTTGTCGTCTAATATTGTATGGCAGCTTCCAAAAACAACTTTGGGAGGGTTATAAGGTAGTTCTTATTGTCTTTCTAATTAAGAAATGAAAATAAAGTGGATGATGAAACAAAGTAGGATGGATGATGCATGTTTGACCTTACTAATTGCTGGTTTCACTAAGCAACTTTAGTTATATTTTTTTAATAACTAGCTATAGTATTTAAAGCATGGACCTTTGTTATGTAAATTTGTGTTAATAACAATAAACTTTTAAAATATAACGTGTTCGATATGATCATTGTAGTCAATCGTATTTATGTAAAGCATAATTACCCTTTTGTCTCAACATAGATACAAAAATTTGTTAATTGAAATCGATTTTTTGTTGATTAAAACCATTACGAAACGTCGTTATCATTGATTTCATTCTAAATTCTTTTATTATTTTCTTTTTACAAGTGATATTAAGATTGTTAATTAAACAAACACTTCTAGTGATTCTATTTACTGACGGAAGGAATTAGTCTTTGTCTGAACTTTATCCCATATAGAAATAGTAATGACCGAGACACATTTAGAATCTTTTTATTATATATATGTATGCATGTGTGTGCCAACATTTTGACTTGTTTGCACTTGTATACAACAGTTGCTGCCAAATTTGAAGACAGTTGAACTTTGGGCTTTGGATAACCTAATCGCCACACCAGATTTGATGGACTTCCAAATCTTGAAAGATTCATTCTTTATGATTGTGGTAGTTTAGAAGAGATTCATCCATCGATTGGACACTTGGAAAAGCTTGTTTTCTTATCAATATATAGTTGTCTCAGTCTTGAGAAGTTTCCACCCATTACTAGACTAAAGAAGCTCAAGACCCTTTCATTCTCATCGTGCAGCAAACTTTTTAAGCTGTCAGAGATCCAACAACTGAAGATGGAGAATTTACCACATCTTGATTTGGATAATAGTGGGAAACAAGTTGCATCCTATAAAAGATCTTCAACACACTTTTTTGTTTGGACGTGTGGTAGGAGCAATGTTCCTGATGTAGAATGTTGTTTAGAGAAGCCTTCTCTACCTCACAACAACATGAAGCATTGTTTATGTGACAACATGAACCACATAGGATTGCGGTTTCTTCTCATACACTTAAAAAAGTTGGATCTCAGCTACTGCAGTTTGGGAGATGAAGAAATGGGTTCTGCCTATTGGGAGTTACCCAACCTGAAAACACTCCATCTAAGTGGAAATAAATTTTCACGATTAAATTTTAATCTCTTGCTACTTCCTCAACTCAAATGGCTCACATTAATAAAGTGCCATAATCTTGTAGAATTGTTGGAGCTCCCATCAAGTATAACTGTTGTTCTTGCGGATGATTGTAGGTCACTTGAAAGCTTTGGAGATATTTCAAACTGTAAATGGTTGTGGAATGTCTCACTTCAGCAGCAGAACAAACTTATTGGTGACATATTACTTGACTCAATGCTCCAGGTTTGGCTCTACGTACCTTTCAATCTTTATTATACAAACAAACCCAGACATAAAAATCATAATTTCCATGGCAGGGAAATGCTACTGAAGATTACTTTATCAATATCATTCTTGAACATCAGATTCCAAAGAGGTTTGTGGATAGGCTATTTAGGGGCAAAACATTTAGACTGCATCTTCCAGATGATTGGTACAGTGAGTTTTGTGGGTTCCTAATATGTGTTGTTACCCAAATGCTATCTCCATATATTAATGTAGTCATCAAGCAAGAGGCAGATGAAGATTCTCAATATGATCGTTGGCATGAGTCTATTCAAGTTGTGGAGCCTGAATGTCGTGGGACAATGACATGTGTAGGATATGTTTCCTTTGGTTCATTGAGGCACACCACATTTTGCAACTCATCACACACTACGATTTCACTTTCCGTGGGGGACATGCATTATAATTCGCTTGAAGATCGGTGTCATTTTGGAGTTGAGCTCATTCCTAGAAGTAGTAAACGTGAGGAGGTGCTGTGGAAAAGTTGCCTCCAAAATTAGCAAGTGGCAAATAGTTCAGGGGTTATTTCCGTAACTTATCATTTACTATTCATAGTTTGACTATGAATAGTAATCTAATATGAAATTGAAAATGAAATTGGACGGAATGGAGGCGCAGACATTATTATATGTGTATAGTAATATGCAATATGAATTTGAAGATTGTAGGCGCAGCAATTTTGTCTTGGACGACATTTTTGTTTTCTTCTTTCATTTGTATTCTCCTCTTTGGCTATAAATAGCCAGAGAGATTTAACCCACGAAAAACCCAACAATCAAAATATATATATATAGTAAAACATTACATATATATATATATATATATATATATATATATATATATATATATATATATATATATATATATATATATATATATACACACTGATACACCACCATATATTTTAGCCCTCTCACTCTATTTGTAATCTCTTTCATAATCCCTGTAAACACTGCAAATTATAGTGAATTGTTTCTCGGCTTCCTCCGCCCGTGGTTTTTTCCCGATTTGGGTTTCCACGTAAATTCTTGTGTCTCTATTCTATTTATTTTACTCGTATTTCGTTGTGATTATTACGCTTTGATAATTTTTGATCCCATTCCGCATTGAACTAATATTATTTAAGTCTATTCGGATCCTTCGTATTTCACAACAATTGGTATCAGAGCATCCGGGTTGTAATATTAGCTCATTGGGATCATTTTATCAAGTAATTAATCATGTCTTCGGTAAAATACGATATTCCACTACTGGATCGTAACACACGATTTCCGTTGTGGCAAGTAAAGATGAGAGACATTCTCATTCAGATGGATTTACACAAGGCGCTTTTGGGTTTCAATAAGATGTCCGATACATGGACCGAAGAAGAAAAGGAGATGAAAGATCTGAAGGCTTTATCCCAGATTCGTTTGCACTTGTCAAACGATGTTTTGCAAGATGTTCTAAAAGAAACGTCAGCGGCTTCTTTATGGCTAAAGTTGGAGCAACTGTTGATGACCAAGAGCTTACCAAACAAGTTGCATTTGAAGCAACGGTTGTTCAATCTCAAGATGATTGAAGGAGGCTCTTTAACTGAACATATATCCACATTTAAAGAGTTAGTAAATAACTTCGAGAATATGGATGTTCAGTATGAAGATGAAGACTTGGCTTTATTCTTACTGTCGTCGTTGCCAGAATCCTATAGCCATTTTCGTGATACTATTATCTATAGCCGTGACACTTTAGTTTTAGATGAAGTCTATACAGCTTTGGATTCCAAAGAGAAGATGAAGCATATTACTGGTGGTGGTTCAAGTGATGCTAAAGCCGAAGGTTTAAATGCCAGAGGAAGAACAACAGAGAGAAGTACAACTTCTCAATCTTCCAACAGACTCAGATCCAAATCAAAAGGCAAACGAAAGTTTTGCAACTATTGTCACAAGAAGGGACATGTGCTTGAAGAATGCTTCAAGTTGAAGAATAAAGAAAAAGAGAAGACGGCAGCAAATGGTAAACAAGCTAGCACTTCGGGTGAAGCCGATGTAGCTGAGGTGGAAGGTATTGGAGAACTTTTGACAGTTTATTCAGATAAACTGGATTCCACTGGTGATTGGATACTCGACTCTGGTTGTACTTTTCATATGTGTCACAACAAAAGTTGGTTTTACACATTTGAAAAGGTTAACCAAGGCTATGTGTTGATGGGTAACAATACTACATGTCCAGTTCTTGGACATGGTTCAGTCAGGATCCGTATGTTTGACGGAGTTATTCGAACCATGGGGGATGTTAGATATGTTCCTGACCTCAGAAGAAACTTGTTATCTCTCAGTTCCTTTGACAAAAGGGGATACGAGTTTGCTGGTAAAGGTGGAGTTCTCAGGGTATTCAAAGACGGCTCCGACAAACTGAGAGCCAAACGAAAAACCTCAGATCTTTACTTTCTTGACGGGCAAACAATTTCGAGTGATGCTGCTGTTGTTTCAAAGTCTCTTTCTGATCCAGATCAGTCCCGTCTTTGGCACCTTCGACTCGGCCATATGAGTTTTCAAGGCATGTCAGAATTGAGTCGAAGAGGTTTACTTGGTCAACAAAAGATTGTTGATTTGGAATTCTGTGAAGACTGTGTATATGGCAAGGCAAAACGAGTGAGGTTTGCAAGTGGCATCCATACAACGAAAGGACCACTTGATTATGTTCACTCGGATTTGTGGGGACCGGCTCGAGTTGCTTCAAAAGGTGGAGCTATTTATATGCTCACTATTATTGATGATTTCTCCAGGAAGGTGTGGTCTTTCTTCTTAAAACATAAAGGAGACGTTTTCTATACCTTCAGAAATTGGAAAGTTCAGGTTGAAAAGCAATCAGGTCTGGTGGTAAAGTATCTTCGTACGGATAATGGACTTGAGTTTTGCTCAGAAGAGTTTAATGTCTATTGTCAAAAGGAAGGCATTACTCGACATCGCACAGTAGTCCATTCACCTCAACAAAATGGTGTAGCTGAAAGGATGAATCGCACCATTATGGAGAAGGTCCGGTGTATGCTTTCTAATTCCAAATTGCCAAAGTCTTTTTGGGCGGAGGCTGCTTCGACTGCTTGCTATGTTATCAACCGATCACCGTCACGAGCAATCGAGAAGAAAACTCCGTTTGAGTTATGGTCCTGTAAACCTGCAAATTATTCAAATTTAAAACCATTCGGATGTCCAGCGTATGCACGAGTTGACAATGGGAAGCTAGAACCAAGAGCAATCAAATGCGTTTTTCTTGGGTACAATCAAGGTGTAAAGGGTTACAAGTTATGGAGCTTTGATTTGAAGAAAATTATCATCTCAAGAGATGTTACTTTTGATGAGTCTGCTATGATTCAACCAGTTGCTGACTCTTCTAAAAGAACAGATGCATCAGATGTATCATCCGAAGCAAATAAAGAGTATACTCAAATGGAGGTGGAGCTTCCTACTTCACCTACCACTAATCAGAGTACAAATCAGCATCAAGATTCTTCTTCGTCGGATGAGCATGTTGTTGGTGAAGATTCAACACCTTCACAACCACAAGCTACTACTCCAAGCATTGCAAGAGATAGACCGAGAAGACAGATTATTCCTCCGAAGAGGTATGCTGAATCTGATTTGGTTGCCTATGCTTTTATTGTTGCTGATAATATTGAGTACGCAACGGAGCCTGCGAATTATGACGAGGCTATCAAATCTGAAGACTCAAATGATTGGATGCTCGCTATGCAAAATGAGATGGAATCCTTGCAGCGAAACAGTACTTGGAATTTAGTTCCTATTCCGAAAAGGAAGAGACCAGTTAAATGCAAGTGGGTCTATAAGCTCAAGGAACCTGTCAACCCAAATGATAAACCAAGATACAAAGCTCGGTTAGTAGCTAAAGGCTACAGTCAGATTCCTGGTATTGATTACACTGACATTTATTCCCCAATTGTCAAACATACTTCCATTCGTGTATTGTTGGGGTTGGTTGCTTCTAACGATTTTGAGTTAGAACAACTTGATGTCACTACAGCTTTCCTAAATGGTGAGCTTGAGGAAGAGATTTTTATGCAACAACCTGAAGGTTTTGTAGTTCCTGGAAAGGAGAACTACGTATGCAAGTTGAACAAATCTCTTTATGGCCTCAAGCAGTCTCCTAGACAATGGTACAAGAGGTTCGATTCTTTCATGACCAGTCACAAATTCAGCAGGTGAACCTATGATAGCTGCGTTTATTTCAAGAAAGGTGACAATGGTTCAAAGATCTACTTACTCTTGTACGTGGATGACATGTTGATTGCAGCAAAAGATATGAAGGAGATTCAGAAGTTAGAAGACCAGTTGAAAGCTGAATTTGAAATGAAGGACTTAGGAGCTGCCAAAAAGATTTTAGGTATGGAAATTATTCGTGACAGAAAGTCTAGGATCTTGCATCTTTCTCAGAAAAGTTATATTGAGAAAGTCCTAAGACGCTTCAATATGCACGAAGCAAAGTCTGTCAACACACCTTTTGCAGCTCATTTCAAGCTATCATCCGCTTTGAGTCCTACTAATGAGACTGATATGGCTTACATGGCACGTGTTCCATACTCTAGTGCTGTTGGATCTTTAATGTATGCTATGATCTGCACACGCCCTGATTTGGCTTATGCTGTTAGCATGGTTAGTAGATACATGGCGAACCCGGGGAAAGAACACTGGAAAGCAGTACAGTGGATTTTTCGTTATTTACGAGGTACGTCTTCCATGTGTTTACGTTTTGGCAAATCTAACACTGGGGTGTTCGGATATGTTGATTCAGATTATGGAAAAGATTTGGATAAACGAAGATCAATTACAGGGTATGTGTTTACACTAAATGGTTGTGTTGTTAGTTGGAAAGCCCAGTTACAGTCTACAGTTGCCCTGTCTTCTACCGAGGCAGAGTACATGGCGATTACAGAAGCAGTTAAGGAAGATATCTGGTTGAAGGGGTTATTCGGAGAACTCGATGATAGAATAAAGGTGACCACAGTTTTCTGTGACAACCAGAGTGCTATCTTCTTGAGTAAAGATCAAATGTTTCATGACCGAACAAAGCATATTGATATTCGTTATCATTTTGTGCGGGATATCATTGAAAAAGGTGATTGTGTTGTGGACAAGATTCATACAGATTATAATCTCGCTGATATGTTCACTAAAAGTCTTCCTATAGCCAAGTTCAAATTATGTTTGGACATGGTGGGTGTTTCTGATCGCAGTTGAGCCT